AACGAATTTTTAGAATAACTTTTAGAAGTGCAAAAAAAACAATTGTATTTTGGAAGGACGTATATATACTTCCGGGACACTAAATGCACTAACTCAGCGAGACGGTGACTCCAGTGACAGAGAAGGGGTTAATTAAGTGAAATTAATAATCCCTATAAGATATTAATGTGACGTACTGATGCCTAAAACACAATGTACGTAGTTTCACAATATATGTGATGTACAATATATTTAATTATAAACGTAATTTTTAAGATAACATTTACTCTTACTTTTAAAATGTATTTTTCTCAATGTATTACTTGATAGTAGAAACATTATACAGTTGGCTATGTGGTTTAGTTACAAGTTGAATAGGCTAGTGAAATATTGATAAAAAGAATGGGAAATATCATTTCGCGAATGGCTATAAAAGGAACAAAAAATAAGTTAATTAAATTATCAATTTTTGTATAAAATTTATACTCTTTTTAATTATTATTTTAGTTTAACCTGGTTTGTGTAATAAAAATACCAGAACCAATAGCTCGATTACAAAATAAACAAGTCTTATACTTCTCAGAAAAAATATATAAATCAAGAATTAATCCTTTTTTCCAGCTAGTAATTTTTTTCTTCAATTTTTGGAAACTGTTGCTAATATTTACAGAACTTTTCTCCTTCTTTGAACCTCTCAGTTTTCTCAGACTTGTTTAACTTTAGTTACTAAGTTAATATAAGGCGAGTAAAATATTCCTTGTTGGAACTTTTGGCGGAACTTTCTCTCAATATAAATTCTCTTTCGAAAATAATTCAAGCGTACATTCATGGGAAGGAAGAAAGTTGTTCATTATTTTTAAGCTAATGTTCCTCGGCTTCTCCTTTGGTTTGAGTTACATCCAGAGTTCTTAATGCTGGGACTCTAGGCTAATGAAATAACATAAATCTTTTGAAGCTGTTAGAATAAAAAATGGCAAATATATGACTTTTGTCATTATATTATGGTGAAATATAACAAATATTAACATCCTTCCAATCGTATCAAATTTTAGATAATTTTTTTAAAAATATTTTATACTATCTTTTGTGGAATTGCATTGAGATGTGTAAGATTTTTAATTGTTACTAATAAGGACAAAATGAAATTCGATTAGTATGATTTGAACTTTGTATTATCGAACGGAAGCGCAGGAAGTGGGAAAAGAAGCAACTAGATCCCTTTCGGTTAGGACACTATATATATATATATATGTGTGTGTGTGTGTGTGTGTGTATGTGTGATGTGTGTATGTATGTGTGTCTGTGCGTGAGTGTGTGTGCGTACGTGCGTATGTGTGTGTGTGTGTGTGTGTGTGTGTGTGTGTGTGTGTGTGTGGTGTGTGTGTGTGTGTGTGTGTGTGTGTGTGTGTGTGAGCTGTCCTAAGTCAGTAATGTTTATAATACTGTAATACATCAATATTTTTCATTTTTATTTTAAATCGTTTTACTTTTATAACTTCTAATAAATCCCCTCTAAAATCTCTTGTCTGGTTTCTCTTACATTTTCGGTTTTATTTACTATTGATGATTATTAACTATTCATCTTTATTTAGTAGATAATTTTATCTATCTATCTATACATAAATATATATATATATATATATATATATATATATATATATATGTAAGGATAATTAAATTAAATTTAAAATTAACCCCCTAGTACTCTTCTAACTTTTATTTTCCCGTTACATCGGCAAGTATTAAAGTTATTATCCAGTTCAGGAATGAAGAACACATGGCTTTAACAGAAGTTTGCCGCTCCTAATATTAATTTTTTTCCTATTATGTCATGCTTAAATTCTTAAGTATACCTCTTCAATAAGACATGTGCTTGAAAAGACATCTGGATTTTGAGTAGCCGCAGACTCTTGATTTTTAACACGTGTCCGTCTCTCTCTCTTACATATCAGATTGCAATTACAGTTCAAATAAAATGTCTTGATGTTCACTCGAAAAACGACGACATATATATATATTATTCACTAGCAAGATGCCTATAACTATTATTGTAATGAATTTTACAACGCGAGGTTATTTGTTCAATTCGTGGTTATTTATTCTCTGCTTTTCGAAAAGTTTTTATATTTCTTAGTATTTTGTAGTGAGATCTATTTCTACTTATATTTTGACATAGTGTTTTCAGCTCCGGTATCCCATTGTTTCTTCCAATCCAGAAATCCGGGAATTAAAATAACTAATCCTGGGATTTATTTTTTTGTCTAAATTATGTTTTTAATTTTTTTTTTTTCTCATCAAAATTTTCTACGATAAATTCGTAGAAAATTTTGATGAGAAAAAACTTCCAGAAAATATATTTATAAATTTAACTTCCAGAAAATATATTTATTTAATTTTTTTTTAAAGAAAAATATTCCAGGATTTTTTTTTGTGTGCGATTATAAGTGCTATAAGTAAAAAAAAATTATGTAGCTCCCGTTTCTCGAATAAAAGAACTTCGCACATATTTAAGTGGCTTACTGCACAATACAACACAACACAATAATATAAGCAGCATCCCAGGAGAGATTTTGTCACAGTCCCTTCTTCAATTAAATACCGTAAATTAATAGCTGACCTTCTTGAAAGACTTTATGCCATCAAATACCAATGCATTACTAACAGCTCCTGCAACTGGATCTTCTATTTTGAATAAGGCAACCCTTAAAATTGATTCCCATTCCGACTCAAAAACTGGATCCATTTTTACATAAAAACCATTAAGTGTATCAGAAGAACTAGAAAAAGTTATCAACGAGGGATATGCACCAATGTAGGCTATTAGATTTGTGACATTGTCATCAAAAATTCAAGTAGAAATGTTTTTTTTTTAAATTGGAGGGAGACAAGGTGACAACTGAAAAGAACATGCTTCTATTTAATGATGATAAAGCCTACTAGTATAGATTCCGAACGAGAATTTTCTACGGCAGGGCAGTTTGTAACATAAATAAGAAGCCGATTAAACGATGAAACACAGGACGAGCTGTTTTTTGTAAAGCTTATTTACAGAAAGAGAACAAATAAATAGAAATGTTTTTTTTAATTTCATTATGTATTATATTTATTTATTTTTTTATGATGAATTAAGTTTCGCTTTTTGATTTGTTTCAATAAAAATAATATTGAACGAATTTTTAATTATATTTTTAGTTTTATTATGAAATTTCAACTATGCTAATCTCTAAGTATTTTTAATAAATAGTTCAATTCTAATACCAGGACCACTTCTTAGATCCCGAGTTTTGGATAATGTAATCCCAAAATCACAGGATTGAAAATATAACACGGGATTGCAAACCCTTTTTTTGCGGTTTTCAAATCCATTTTCAGTCTATCTTTACTTTATAGGGTTTACACAAGTTGTGTATACTTATTTTATTATAATATTCATATATATATATATATATATATATATATATATATATTCACCACCTCGGGGGTGATTTTAAAAGGTCGTCTCCGGGTGGAAGGCGGTGATCGCTTTGCAAAAATTAGAGTGCTCCAAGCAGGCACTTTGGCCTGAATAGTAATGCATGGAACGATGAAAGACGCCCTCGGTTCCGCGTTTCTCTGGGTCGATAATAAATAAGCAATAATCACGCAAAGTCGTGACATTCCGTCATGGTGTTGTATGTGTATGTGTGTGTGTGTGACCTCTGAACTTTCAATAAAATCTCAAATGTGCACAATCGGATTAAGATCCGATGGATTGAGTGGCCAGGATATTAATCGGAATTCAACATAATGCTCCCGAACCATTTGAAACCATATTAATTGGGGCGTTGTTGAGCTGAGAGATTTCATTTCACTTGGTTGTGCAAACACCTTGTAAAGGCGCAACTGGTCTCAACCATAGACATGATGAATTATATGTCAAGATTCCCCCAATCGGGCAACTCTCATTTACTTATCCATGGTGCAATCTCGATGCTCCCGGGTGCACTGTGGACATAGCTGACTATGGTACTTGGTCAGCAGAAACATACAATTGGAAATTCTCCTGCGCAGTTCCATATCAAACAGGTGTACTGAACTGGATGTTCCGAGTCACTTGAACTTGGACCTGCATTGTTTTGGGCTGTCGTCTGAGCCACTGCCTGGGGCCTATTTTGCTTCCAAGGTGGGACAATCTCAGAAGCTATTTTCTTTTATAGCGCTTTTACGTCCAACAGCTTGTTGATGGATACATTTATCCATTCCGTCATTTATCCACTTCGAATAAACATTAACTGCAGTGATCGCGAACAGTCTGCTAGTTGTGCAGTTTCGGAGATACTCGTTTCGAGTCTTTGTGTCAATACAATCAATCCCCTATCAAATTCGCTTAGATCAGCAGCCTTTCCGATCACTCGTAAAAGTTAGTACAAGAATGATCCCTTACCTTCTCCAGCAACAGTTAAATACAATTCCCACTTAATCACATACCCTAAAGTTATCCAGATGAGTTCATTGAGAAATATAGTGATGATCATAATACTTTAGCTCGTCATGATATATGTTTATCTATAAATAAATACTGAAATATGTAATGTAATATATATAGCAAATAATCTATCTATATAAAAACGGAGGTTTCCGTAATTGACCTCGCTTCACTCCCACACCGTTCAACCGATCACTTTGAAAATTAGCATGTATATGTAATTTTATTAAGAAGATTTTTGTACTATCCTCTTTGTTGAAGCTCCCACCAGGTGCACAAACAGCATATCAACTTCTGCACCGTTCAATCAATCGTCCAGATGCCAACATGGTCTCCAAAAATGATACAAAATTGGATCTATCACCAGCATTTGGCTATGTTTCATTGAATCGACATTATAATGTAAGGAACGGCATTGCGTGAAAATATTACAATTTTAACAAAAAAATAAATACAATAGAAAGTAATATTATTACATTTATCTGCATCCAGCGAAAAATTCACAAATAATCTTCAATGAAATCCATAAAAAAAAACTAGAAAAGAAAGTGTACTTCGTGCTCGATCGGGATTTGAACCCGGAAACTCTCGCACAACAAGAGAGAATCATACCTTAGACCACCGAGCCTATCTAATGGGAGTTTTTTGAACGTTACAGTGGAAAGCAATCTACTAAAAAACTTTGTAGAAACATCTTGCATGCCGAATCTGGAAAAGATGGTTCAAAGGGCTCGCAGATCTCATTTGCACAGGTAAAATACATTCGTCGAGTTTGTATTTTTTATAGTGTAATCATACCCCTAGACCATCGAATCACAGTACACAAGATTGACCCAAGCTTTCAAAAGAGATTCCGAGATAAACACAATAATAAATTTTCAGAGAAAGTGAGATGATTGAAAGGAATCATACCTTCTATACTCCTGTGTAAATAAAATTTTGTTGAAAACGACAAAAGAAATTGCGTTCCTTCAGAAGGGTTAAACACAGCGGGCTCAACCGAGATTTGAACCAGGGACCTCTCGCACTCAAAGCGAGAATCATACCTTTTAGACCACCAGAAGCATTCAAAGGATGTGAGGCCAGAAATACAATATTAAATTTTCAGCGGATGGGAAGGATTAACGATTTTCCCATCCGTTATAAATTATTTACACTACTTTTAGCGTTGATTACATGAAATTTGTAACAATGAGTTATTATTGCTAAGCATATATCTGCTTCGGAAGGTATTTTGAAAAATCGACCCACAAGAGAGTTATCGGTTGTTATAAATAAAAGAATTCATCTTTATTAGCACTTGGATATACAGACTTAAAATTTAAAAAGTATGTTTTTTTGTTCATTTGAGATGTGAAAAAGCTTTTTTTTTTGTTTAATTTGCAGTTAATGTAAAATTAAGTAATTAAAAACTTATTTATCCTTCAATATGTAACGTTTAACTTTTTATTTTACCCGTTCTTCGCACGGGTATACCAGCTAGTGTAGTTTAAATTATACAAGATAATAAATGCATAATTTTATAAAATGATTAAAACCTTCATTCTTTCCCTTGAAATTATATATGTATATATTACTTAATCCTTTAATAAAGTAAAATTTTTTTTAAAAAATATATACTCGACTGAAAATTATAAAATTAATCCTAGAAAAGTAATCCAAGAAGAAAAAAAGAGGAAGTCTGGAACCAGTTTTTCCATTTAACTACAGTAAAATTATTTTTAAAAAGTATTCAGGATTTTTTTTCTCTTCTTCTATTTCCCCCACAAATCGATTAAGATAAAATTAAAAAACTTTGCAGCCAAACTGATATCCAGACTGCTATGAAAACTATTCTAACCTACTTTGCTTTTCAACTACGGAATATTTTCTTCCTTATATTAAGTCTTTACTATGTGGGATTTAATATCGAGAATATATGAATGTAATTGGAAAAAAAATTGTTTACTTACTATATGGCAAAAATAACGTTTATACCAAAAAATAAGCATTAAAAAAGTGTACTTTTTGTGATAGGGAATGAAGGATATTTATTCACAAAAGAAGAATGATTAAATAAAAAATGGTAATTTAAATATCTCGTTTAGCACAGCAAATACATATTTGGGTGGCATTTTCCAATACCTTAAAAAAACGTATTCAATTTTTCCACTTTAGTAAACAAGTATGACATAAAAATGAGAGTAGCGCATGTAAGATTTTAACTGAATAAGATTGATTTCCAAATTTCTTTACGAATTACCATTTTGTTGTAAGTAAACCGTAGACTTTGGCGAGTTTTTAAGACTCAGTTCAAATATTTTCCATACATAGTTCAAACTTATGGGTGTTCGAAAAAACTTCGAATACCTTTCTTTTTAGCGCGTTTTTCATGTAGTGGAACAAAAACGCTATTAGGACGCAAATTTCGTCTTCGTCTTCATTCCATATTTTGTCGTACATTTTTCTCAGCCAATAAGCAACCAATTGACTTCGGTTTTTCGGCATTTGGTCGCATTTGTGCCCTAGATGAGCCGAATCATATTTAAATTTTCCCATAGTTTTCTCGAATGTCCCTACAAATTTTCCGGAATTTCGCTAGTTTTTTTGCTTTTTTATAGTGCTGATACAGATTTGTGTCGTTACTTCTCTTCAGCTCAATAGTAGTACATTTATAGGAGTGGTACAGTGCACAGTACTTTATGTTAGTAAAAAGTTCATTAGCTGCATTATTGTATAATACAACATGTGAAAAACGCGCTAAAATTACTTGGCCATGCCAATGATTGTATCTTGTTTGTTTTTGTTTTTGATTTGTTGTTGTATACACATGGGTTAATAGACAATGAAAGTCTTCTAAAGTGATACTCTTAAAATATGATACTTAATACCTATTTTTTTATTCGAATAAAATAATTCTATTTAAAAATGAATAATTTTAGTTTATTTACTTTGAACTTGACATTTTATACAGAATTCTATGAATAATATATATAATTCGTGTCACAGAATGCAGCTAACAATATATTTTAATCAAGAATCTACTAAAGAATAGTGTTAGGTTTCAATTATATAATTTTTTAGAGACTCGTTATAAATTTAATGATATTTTTGCCAAAACATGTAGCATGTATTTATGCAGTTTTTAACTTGTACACGAATGATGTGTCTAAAATAAACAAAAGATATTTAGCACACAATATCGACCCACTCTTCCTCGTGAAAATGGTCTGGATTGATTATTTTGCTGTAGAGGGTGGCTTTATTTAAAGATAATTATTTTTATTTATTCTGCCTTTACAATAATCCTTACATTCACAAACTAAAACCCTAAATTATGTTAACGATTTTTTTTTATATTGTAAGTGTGATGCTTAATTTTTTTTTTTTTTTTGGTTTATAAAACTTTGTGATCCACAAACACGCAGATACTGATAGTGGAGGGTTGTTAAAAGTTTTAAGTATAGATTCTGGGAGTAAGATTGGAACGATTATAGATAATTAGACAGTATTATATGAGTACAGATTGGAATTATTATAGATTATTAGATATTATTATATGAGTATAGGAAATATTACAGATTATTAGATATTATTATGTGAGTACAGATAGGAATGAATACAGATTATTAGATATTATATGAGCACAGATTGGAATGATTATAGATTATTAGATATTATTATATGAGTACAAATTGGACTTAAATCCACGATTACGTAGATACGAGGCTGGCTACTAGTTGTCATATCTCAGCTCCTTCATGGATTTGGAATTATTGTTGGCTAAATTTGCTGTTTCTTATGCCATTTTTAAAGATGACAGGAAGATTTCCTGGCCATTTACTGTTTTTTCTATGATATCTTGAAATTTAATCCAGTTGGCATGCGTGATAAATGTATAGGCATGTGTTAGTAAATTTCAGGCAAATTGAGAAAGAGTTACCATTTCTATTAAGCCAATTTATTGATTAGGTTTAGATATTATTTTTCGTTTTTTGAAATTTTACACTTATGGGAATATTTTGATCTTGTGAGTCCTTATTTAGAGTTTAAAATTACCGCTTTCTTTAAATTCCTTTTTATTTGTTTCCTATCTCGGGACTTAATTTTAGTGTACATCGTAATATGAGAGGATTTCATAAATTATTTTTTTAAAAATAAACGTAATTGTTTATTTTTCAGTCCATCTAATATAGTGGATATTATCTCCAGCTTTATGTCATAAAATCAATCAGATCAATATGAAATATAAAACAAATTTCTGAAAAAAAGTTCATGTAACTGATAATTGAGAACTTAATAATAGAGCAATAAGTAAATTGCTTAGAAAAATAATAATATTATTTAATTCATATTTTTTTTTATTTTAAATATTACATGTGTGGAAAAAATCGTTAAATGGAATTTTAAAGTAAAGCTCTGAGCTTTACTTTCATTCTTTTTAAATATAAATCTCATAATTACATGAATATCTACAAAATATATATTTCATTTATTTTTTTATGTTTTCTCCTCACAATGATGGTTTTTTGCTTCGTGAGTTATCACACTAAAAATATTATCAATAGTAAATTCTAAAGAGTTTTTTCATTCTGAGATAAATCAGTTTAAAGTTTTTGTTTGCAATTGGAATAAGAATATGTAAAAACGAACATAAAATTTATAGTAACTCTGTTTTTTTTTAACTTGAAGCTGTTCGAAGTTGCGAGATTATAAGAAATACACATTAAATAATTCAGACTAAAAAAATTGTGTTGATTTTTGACCGATTTTTGTCAATTGAATCGAATTTTATGTGTGTGTGTGTGGAGGGGAGGCCCCTTAATTATTTTCAAATAATTGAAAAAAGCTGTCATTAAGTATTTGAATATCTAAATAAGTAACTTTTCAAAAATATTCCTTCAAAAAAAAACATGAAAACTTGAAACATAAACATAGATTTCATTTGGAAACTAAAAAAAATTTAGATTTAATTTAATGCCTTCATATATGTAAAGGCTATAAACTAAATATGCATAACATTAACATTTATTACAAATATATTCTTTAAAGTTATAGTAAATTATATTTACTTTTAAAATATTTCTTGATATAATTAAAAGTATGAAGCCTTCCTTCAGGTCCTCGATCCACAGCAAATATACCTCCCAATTTCTAAATTCAGGGAATTATTGAGATTGGATTATGAACTAGCTCCCAGAACAATGGTTTTGTGTTCCTACTTAATTATTGTATACGTTACTCTCTATGACAGATTTCTTACAGAATCAAGACTCGAACATATAAATCCTCTAAAATATTGCAGTTCACGAGCTAAATGTCTTGGCTCGCTCTTTTTCACGTTAAAAACAGGTAAAAACAAAAATGTATCGAAGCAATTGTACTAAATCATTTCAGAAATTCTTACAAAAAGATATATTTAACTGTTATCGCACTACATGCGAAGTTTTACTTTCACTACAATCCATCCAAGAATAATTACGATAAATATCTATAATACAAATTGTTACGACCCGCATGTGCAGAGGGCGCTAGTAGTCATCTTTGTTTACATTTTTCTCAGTATGCATGTAACCAACCCAAGGAGCGGACGTACCAACCGTCGCTCAATAAACCATCATTATTTAAAGTATACAGTTCGTGCTCTCT